TGCACAAAGCATTTGCCACTACTCCACCGGGCCTTAAACTGCCATAATTTCTGGAGAAAGGCCACATCAGTGTAAAAAAGCCACACACAAGAACAATGGCAGGAAAAAAATTTACGCAGAAACGGTGCAACAAATTAAATTGCACGTGATATTGTCGAGGACCTTATAGATGCAAAATCTTACCTATGTCCTGATATATGACATATCAGTTAAGTAAAATGCATGAAATGGAACCATAACTCAAAAACAAATTATAAATTAAGAAATTTTGAAAATATACTTATGTTCACAAACATACCTACTAAAGAAGTCCATATTTGTAATACTCATACTATATTATAAAAAATATCACAACAATGAAATATTAAATTTGGATGACAGAAGGAAATTTTAAATTTTACTTACAAAAAGAATTAAAGCAAACTGTACATTATATGAAGCCATCAAAATTAGATTCTTCACTATCTGAATTAAAAAGATTTAGCAAATACTGATCTAAATAGTCCAAGTGTTCCAGGTCGTCACATTCATCCTCTTTGTTTACAATATCTTTATCTGAGGATATAATTTCAGCTTCTTTGAACCCTGCTGTTACTGACGATGTTTTCACCGTTCAACTACTACTTCTAGATGCTCTATGCATTTTGCTGCTTTTGGTATACGTATGCAGTCCTTCACTCATCCAACACTCCCACTGCTTTTGGACTTCAGCTTTGAAGGATTTATTAACTGACAAATCTAATGGTTGTAAGAATTTTGTCAAACCACCAGAAATTATTGCTAAGGTCGTAGACAGTTTTCTACATCTGGTTTTCACCGACTCAAGTAAATAAGAACACATAGAATACATTATGAACAACCCTTTTGGTTGGAAAAAAGATCCCTTACAACACTGCCAAACTTTTTGTAATCACTCGTGCACAATTGTTTTGCACATCCATCCATTCTCATTTGCACAAATCATTCTGCCATCAGGAAAATCTCCCTTCAGAATAGTTTTCCTTTTAAAAATGGTCATCAGCTTTAGCTTGTTACCGTTTGCAGCACAAGCTAACACACATGTGAATGATGTTCTTTCATGCCCTGTTGTAAGAATGGATACAGTTTTTGCACCAGTTTCATCAACAGTTTGGTTTGCAGGAGAGTCAAAAGCTAATGGCATTTCATCCATATTTATTATCTGTGATGTAGGAAGTTTTTCGTTTGCCAATAATATTGTCACATATTTTCGAAAACATGCTTTTTTTATTCTGCCAGTCAATTGGTAATTGTTGCCTGACTGTTGTTCTAGTTTGCACAGAAATATTTTTTCTTTTCATAAATCTGCTATACCAGCTAGGCACTCCTTTGAAACCATTTATGTTCATTTGTTTTGCCATAAATTTTGCTTGTAAGCGAATTTTTACAGTTGAAATTGCCATTCCCTTTCCTTGTTGCTCCTTTATCCAGTTTGCAAGAAAGATTGTCCTCTAGATTCGGCCATCTTACAGCATCACTTCTTTTGGCGTATTTCTGTTATGGCATATTTTTAAGTTCTTCTTTTTCAGCTCTCCAACATTAAATGCTACTCTCGTCCATTTATTTCTAATTTCTTCAGCACATGAAATTACATTAAGCTTAAAACCAGCAGTACAGCTTCTGTGCCCTTAAGCTGCCATTTTAAAAAAAGTTCCGCTCCCTTCTTACTTAAAAACTATCCAAGAAAAATCGATTCGTGCTGAAGAGGAAATACATCAGAGTTCGTTACTGCAACACAGGTGGAGTCCTGTCCGCCTTTGAAAAAAAATCACAGTAAGTTTACAATGGAAAAGGCAGGGGAGGGAAGAGGATGGGTCCTGGAAGATTCATCCAGTGGCAGAGAAGAGAGACCATTTAAACTGATGAGAATGCTGATTTTGAAAGAGGGAAGAATGTTTTTGTTCTGAGATCAAGTTTAGGATGAATAAGGCACATAGGTCCGTTCAAGGAAAAGAATGTAAACAAAATTAAGAGCGCAGAAAGCAACTGGGTGGCCTTTTGTGTGGGAACAGCACCAAACTACGTACAATGACAAGGTCATCCAAACTATGTACAATGATATTAACAGGAAATATTTTTTAAGTGCACCTAAATGCCGCATGGGTAGAAACGCTGCACCTCCTCAAAATTTAAGTTTTAAACACGTAAACGCTGCAACATTTCTTCTGGAAATTATGGTATAAAGTAATAATCAGATAAATATACAGGATAGGGAACTTAAAAAAGTATATCTAATTTCTACTTTCTTTTAGCTTTTATTTTTAATACATTTGTCATTATAGTTTAAATGATTTAAAAATTCAAGTTGTGTGTCTTTATATCTTTAAGGGGACAAATTACCTTTTCAATTTCTTTCTCGGCCCTCAGATTTTCAAATTTATTGCAGTAATTATAGTTTATTTTAACAAAAGTTGGAAAAAAAATTGTCGTTAAACCAGATGCTCATAAAATTTATAATTATTTTTAAAAAGTTTCATTTTTTATAATTTGATATTACTTTTTAACTATCAATATTTTTACTCTAAATAGCTTTTGTGCATTCCATGAAACCTGTGCATGCAATATTGCATGCTTTTGTGATTGGATTTAATAAAACATTTTGTTGTCACAGTTTAAATACCTTCTTAAAAATAACTACTGAAAGTACAGCTTTGAGAATTTCCTTAAATATATATAAAGAAGCTGCAGCTAAAATTTTAGTCTATAAAAAATTCAATAATTTGACGGTATTGTTTAGCACTGTGTCCCCTTAAAGATTGGTTTAAATGAAATAATATTAGAATTCTTGGTATAATAACATTTTTAAAAGATTGTACTTCTTCCATATATCTCATTTGCTTTATTTTCCATATATATAGGTAAGTGAGCTCCCTTTTCAGCCAGCTGACATCATACTGAGGCAAAGGTTTTTGATTTTGATGACAGATGAAAAAGATAGATCAGAAAGTTCCAAAACTAGCGAAAGATGCACTGTCATCAGCTATGGTTAACTGTCCACCCTATTTGACTATTTCGATAGCAATCTGCAAAGATGTGAAAAAAAGGATAGAACTGGAAAATAAAAATCTTGCTACCACAATTCAAAGTAGTATCACAGAAAAGCAGAAATATTATGAAGATAAGGAACTGGTAAGTTTGAACAATTTATGCAGCAAGAAAAGCATGCGATAGCTTTTGGACTTTTGGAAATTTTCGAAAATTGAAGATCACATTTTGATCTTACTACCTGATCACGTCAGTATTAAAAGTAAACCTGTACCTCAAATACAGTATTTAAAAAAGATAAATGACGAAATCCGGCTACATGCATTTCCAATAATGCTTCTTAGAAAAGTAAATACTATCTTGCTATCAGGACCTAATTCAGAAAAGCATGTGTGCATGCACATGTGTATGTATTTGTTTGCATATATGTGTGTGCATATACATACATAGATGATCATATAATAATAAACACCCATACATACATGCATATATACATAAATTTCTGAATCTGGTCCTAATAACAAAAGAGAACAAAAAAGTTAAATTAAAACTAAAATTTCCCATAAAAATTACTAATATATTGTATGAAGTCTTGGATGAAATTAAACATGCTAGCTTGCTGCTCTGAAAAATATTAACAGCATTGATAATGACAAAGAAAATGTTATTTTAAATTTTTAACTGAACAAATCTCAATTGTTCTCCAAACTGCAAAGCAGTATAATTTAAATATACTAATTTTTGCCTCTTGGTGTTTTCTGAAGAAATTTTGTTTAAAATTATATAAAAAGTCATCTTATTTGTTATCAACTTGAATATGAAAAGACTATATTTAAAATTATGTCCAATTTACAAAAAAAAAAAAAAAAAAATTCCATTTAGATATAAAAACCACTTTTGTAGACTTGTAGGAAAGTCTATAAGGTATTTCTCCCACCTTCTTGGCGTGTCTTCGTGGTGTAGTGGTTTGCACACTGGGCCGGTATTCCAGATGTCTGTGGTTCGATTCCTGGCAAAGGTGGTTGCTAATTTTTTATCTTACCTGCTTCCAAAAAATACCTAATGTATCTACAAGTTAACACATCTTATGCAGTTATGAAACACAAAAGTGCTGGAGATGACACAAAACTTGAACTAATCACTTTGACAGATGTTTAAAGGTACAACTCACTTTTTTATTTCAACAACCATACAGTTTATAGTTATAGCATATTAAAACTTGCCATCACTTATAATTTTCCACATCGGATTAACACTGTTTGTTTTCAAATAAAATTGCATATGTGCCAACAGATATCCATTTTCTTGATGTCAGGATCCCATAACTTTGAATATTCTATACTCTATGCTCTTCCATAGACTGTATTTTCCAAATTTGCTACCCAGACGGGAAAGTGGTTAGTGACTCTGAATGACATACTGAAGGGCCCGGGTTCAAATCTCGAAGAAGGCATGGATGTAAATTGTCTGTCCCTTCATAGGAGGTAAGGGTGGCCACCTATTAGGTACCCCCATAATAAAATGACCACCACTTCCGGCCTTAGTAGTGGCCAAAGCCTAAAAGGGCTAGTGCCTGCCATTAGGGGGGGGGGAATTTCCAAAATTTTAATTATTTTTTCAAAATGTAAAAGAACAGATAAATAGTAATTAACTTATATCCTTCTTAGAAAAACTAAGCCAGCTTAATGAGAATTAAACTATGTTTACATAAAAACAAGGTGAAGATCTTATGATTGTCTTCTGACATTACATTTATCTGTTACTGACACTAAATCACACTGTTTGGTGATGGTGTCCTACAGATGTTTCACGAGTCTCTTTTGCTTATGTTTCCAGGAAGGGAAATTTCTAAAATTCATAGCTGAATGATGAATAGTTGGGTTTTTATAATATCTATTACTAAATAAAAATGAATTATATTTCATATTTATTACTGATATTTAAATCTGCCAGAATAACAAATTAAAATGCAGCTATTAAAATATAAAAACACTTACCCCATCTAGAAGGTGCACAGTTTTGACTGAAGAAAACTTTTTGAAGAAGAAATTATGAGATCCTCTTCTTTCACCTAAAGGGTTCATTTGAAATATTCCTTGCTCTGTCACTTTATCATCAATATCTTAATGTAAAAAGACAAAATCTTTAATCACTCCAGCACACAACACACACACACACACAGAAAAAAAAAAAAAAAAAGATTGAGAAAAACTAATTTATAAAAGTTTAAAATAAAAACTGCTGTTAATTCATGATAATCATATATAATTATAGAGTAATATAGTACTCTTCCATTACTTATGATCAATACAAATATATAGGGAATACTTGAAGCAAAATATTAAACCTATTCTAATTCACATATTATATCAGTAATTTTAATTACTAAATTGAGAACAGAATTTTATGAAGTTAAATACAAATTAAGAACATATATTTTTAAGAAAAATAACTACATATTTATAAATTTCACTGAAACAAAAGGAAACAATTTATTCATAAATACGTACCAGAATCTACAAGAGTTGCTGGTTCATTACGTTTACAAGGAGAGAGATCCTATAAAAAGTCATTAAATCATAGGAGTTCAACAAAAGTGTATAATAGTTACCGAGCATAAACAAAAATTTAAAATAAGATTTGTTTTCTTCAAATACAGAAATATAATCACTAAATTAGTTTAACTTACATTAGTAAACACATTCTTATTACAGAATCAAAATTACAATTTCAATATTTTAAAAATAATTCATTTGTTTTTAAATTATTATATAATAGCTAATAAACACATAGGTAAAGTGATATGTCAATTATTACTTCCAAATTTAATGTTATTAAAAAACACATCTCAACTTTCTACACACTTTTGCACATATAAAGTAATTTTCACAACATAATCTCCTCCTCCCACTAAAAACAATTTTTATGATGATTCTAACTTAGCATTTCCCAAACAGTTTCTTACCGGCATGGATTCCATATCACCAGAAGTTTCATGTCTTCATGGGGATTCAAAACCTGGCAGTTCCATTAAATGCAGAGTTAAAAGATTAATATTTATAAATTAATTGCTCTAAATAATACAAAAATATGATAGTTTTAAAGAACGACTGCTAATACTGGCTTCAGCCACTGCAAACATATACACAAATGACCTTTGCCTGAATAAAACTCGCATAATTTATCTTTCATTTTATATATACGAGGTGTTTTGGGTTTACACCTTAGTGATGGCGCCACCTCACAGAAAGACAATCGGTAGAGGTAAGCAGACAGGTCCAGGGCAGACTATTTCTAGCCGTGGTGTCATGGATGTTGTACATATTGACTCTTGCCTCCGTCCAAACTTTATGTAAGGTAAATGTGTCTTTTTTTAACTGTAATGTTATGCTTAAATATAATTTTTGGTAGTGATAACAGTCTCCGTTTAATAATTTCGAGGAGTTTTAACATTTCCACCAAAAACTGGTGACCTTCGCCAATGAATACGCTGCTCGCAGTAGAGTTTCACTGATGTCAACACATGCGCATCTGCACCATTTCAATGAACCGAGTGGAATTTGCAAAAAACCATGGAAACTAAATGCATCGTTCAGCGTATCTACTGAGTTATTTCCTGGAATTCCAATATATTTGCTATGTTTTCAAGTCTTGCATATCATCATGTGGAGCCTTTCGTAATAATACCAATGTGATTTGAACTGTTCTGAGGAATCTGCCAGTGAAGCATTTGTGATCAGTGTGCTACAGCAGTGATTTTAAGTAAATGTGCTTCACTAGTGAAAAATGATAACGTGGTGAGCATTTTCATACAATAAAAGGACATATGCAATGAATAATTCACTTCTCTCAAATAATGTAACACAATTCAACAAAATATATACTTCAGACATACCCAACACTGCTGTGACTACACCATTTAGCCTCTTTGAGTACTTGTACATGCTCTCTGGCCTTCGCAATGCTGGCCAAACATTCCAACGATTCATACACCAAGTATTATCTGGTCTCAACTTCTACATTTCTTATTTTGATGATATTCTAGTTGCATCTACAGATGTGGCAGAACATATACAACATCTGTACCAGATTTTCACCCGCCTTCAAGAGAACAGATTGAAACTAAACCCATCTAAAAGTGTACTAGGACAGTCCTCAGTTTGTTTTTTTTTTTTTTTTTTTTTTTTTTGGATGTCTTATCACTCCGGATGGAGTAAAACCTCTACTTGAAAAAGTCAAAGCTATCAATGACCTGCCTCAACCCAAAACCATCTATGAACTGAGGCATTTCCTAGCAATGTTGAATTTCTACAGATGCTTTGTGCCTGCCGCTACCTGAAAAAGTCAAAGCCATCGTGACCTGCTCAACCCAAAACCATCTCTGAACTGAGGCATTTTCTAGCACTGCTGATTTTCTACAGATGCTTTTTGCCAAATGCTGAAAAAAACACAGGCACCTTTCTATGAATTTCTGAAGGATAGCAAAAAAAAAAAAGAGAGAGAGAGAGATAAGCAAGCTGTCCTGAAGACTAAACTGGCATCTGCTGCATTTGTGCACTGCAAAAATAATCTGGCAAATGCAGCCACACTATCTTACTTCCTTATCACTCACCTAATGATCAGCTCTATAATGGCAGATACATCTGACACAGCCATAGGAGCTGTGCTGCTTCAGGCAGACAAAACTAAAGGACTTTGTCCAATGGCATTCTTCTCAAGGAAACTTACCACTGCTAAAAGAAAATACAACACATACGACAGAGAGTTGCACTATTGTGCTATTAAATACTCTTGACATAATTTGGAAGCACATGACTTAATCATTTTCACTGACCATCGACCATTAATCTTTGCATTTTAAAAAACTCAAATTCATGCTCTCTCTCATCAAATTCGACAAACGGATTTTATTGCTCAATTTAGTACAGACATCACAAATGTCTCTGGTACTCATAATTGTGTTGATGACACTATCCTGGATACACAACATCCAATTCACTCCTCCAGATGTTTTTGAAATTGCAAAAGTTGCATGATGAGGAACTCGAGAGCCTGATATCGAATCCACAAACCTCCTTTGAGTTACAAACACTCCACATTAATCCAACACTTTAAATTTATTGTGACACATGCAACAATAAGATATGTCTTTATATCCCTGTCAATTTTTAACCTCAGGCGTTAATGCTTTACACAATTTGGCACATCCTGGAATTTGTGCCACAGAAAGCTAATTTCAGACAGATCTGTATGGCCAGCAATGAACAAAGACATCACAGAATGGACTCATTCATGCATTCGATGTCAACGCTGTAAAATTTCACGTCATAAACAAAGTCCTATTCAATAGTTTAATCTTCTGTTAAAGCATTTTGATCACAAACACAGGTCTTATAGGCCTCCTTTGAATAGTTATACGTATCTTCTTACCTGCATCGACAGTTTTACATGATGGCCCAAAGCAATTCCTATTGAAAATACGAGGGCCATCCAGGAAGTAGATTACGTTTCCGTCTGTGTCCGCTAGGGGCGGGGCTAGCGCGGCCATCTTGGGGTCAGAGCGTTGCGCAGCTCAGTCTGCATCTAGCCGTGCTAGTGAGAGGTTCGTGCTGTGCTCCGTTCAGATACTGTGACGGTTTGAAATGTCTGCGTTAATTGAAAATCCCGCGAGCTGCTAGGTGCGCTCAGTAATAAGGTTTCTGACTGCAAAAAACTGTAAACCGATAGAAATCTATCGGCAGCTTCGTGAAGTGTATGGGGACAACATTATCACTGAAGGTGGAGTGCGTCAGTGGGTCATAAGATTTCAAAATGGCCGAACCAATGTTCACGACGAAGATCGAAGTGGGAGACCCAGCATAGTGACCGCCGAACTTCTCGAAAAAGTCGATGCTAAAGTCCGTGAAAAATCGAAATTTCACAATAACGGAACTTTCTTTGAGTTTTCCACAAATTTCGCGAAGTTTGTTGCACGAAATCATCAGCGAAAAGCTTGGTTACCAGAAGTTTTGTGCAAGATGGATTCCAAAAATCTTGACAGAGGACCACAAAACTCAGCGAATGGCTGCAGCGTTGAACTTTTTGGACGCTTACCATAAGGATGGTGACTCTTTACTCGATCGCATCGTTACTGGTGACGAAACATGGGTGAAACATGTGAACTGTGAAACGAAATTGCAATCAATGCAGTGGGGGCACACAAGTTCTCCCCAAAAACCCAAGAAATGCATGCAAACAATGTCGGCAAGGAAGATGATGGCGACTGTTTTTTGGGACAGAAAAGGTGTAATTTTGGTGGACTTCCTGGAAAGAGGCACTACAATAAACTCTCATAGGTACTGCCAAACTCTCCAAAAACTCAGAAGAGCAATTCAAAACAAGCGCAGAGGAATGTTGAGCTCTAAGATCTTGTTGATTCACGACAACGCCCGGCCCCCACACGGCAAATGTCACTCGTTAAAGTAAAGTTCTTGAATCTTTTTAAGTGGGAGTTGTTTCCTCATCTGCCGTACAGTCCCGACCTGGCACCGAGCGACTTCCACCTATTCCCAGCAATGAAGAAGTGGCTGGCTATGCAGCGTTTTGATGACGACGCACAGCTGCAAGAAGAGTTAACGAAGTGGTTGAAGGCGCAGGCGGCCGAATTTTTCGACGAAGGAAATTTCCAAGCTCGTACATCGCTACGATAAATGCCTTAATTTGTTATGGTGACTATGTAGAAAAGTAGTATTTTGAGCCATGGCTTTCATGATGTATATAATAAAATTTGTTTCCTATACTTTGTTTATTTTTTTATTCCAAAACGTAATCTACTTTCTGGATAGCCCTCGTACCTCTTCTGAAACCAAAACTTGGGCATTCATCTCTCAATGGATTTCCCGATTTGGTATGCCTACTACTATCACTACTAATCAAGGTTGACTATTTCAATCTCATTTGTACTCAGCAATCACCTCTCTTCTTGGCATTCGCCATATCCGAACAACACCTTACCATCCATCTGGAAATGGGACGGTGGAATTATTTCACCGATCTCTGACTGTTACTTCTAGTCTTGCTTAGTGTTCGTACGTGTTTCAAAGAAGACATTGATAGCACTTGTGCCGAAATTGTCTATGGTGCAACCCCCCCGTCTACCTGGTAAATTCTTTCATCCAGAATCCCCACCAAGCATCGACCCTTCAACATTCCTTCAATGTTTATGTGATACTACGAGTAGCATCTCACCATCTCTGGCATCCACGCACAATAAATCAAGCTATTTTGTACATCCTACATTTGAGACATCTTCCCATGTGTTTGTGTGCAATGATGCTATTAAAACAACTTTGATGGCCCATTCAGAGTTGTGAAATGCACGCCTAGACATTTCACCATCCTGTGCAACGGCATACTGTCAGTAGTTGGGATAGATCGTCTTAAGCCAGCATTTCTGACACAAGATCCAATAACTTCTCCATCAACATTGCCAAAAGATGACCTAAATCCTGTTACTGAACAAACAAAAACTACCAGATCTGGATGAATAGTTAGATTTAACCCAAGATATTTTTAAGGTACCAATGGCACTTGGAGGAGGTAGTACTGTGACATTTTGGGTTACACCCAAGAAATGGTGCCACTTGTCAGGGAGAGAGTCGGTAGAGGTAAGCAAACGGGTCCAGGGCAGAACAGTTCTACCTGTGGTGTCATGGATGTCACATGCATTTACTCTTGCCTACATCCAAACTTATGTAACGTTAATGTATGCCTTTTTTGTTAATTGTAATCTTATGTTTAAATATAATTTTTTGTTTGTGATTACAGTCTTTATTTAATAATTTAGTGGAGTTTCAACATTTACACCAAGCATACCTATCTGCTGATGAAGAACCAGCGAGAACTCAGCGAGTTTGTAATGCTAAAGCATCTTAGCAAAAGCACAAAAATGTCACACACTTTGCATTCAAATAACTTAAAATTTGGAACTACTGTCTTTCTTTTTTCCTCCATTCATGATACAGATTAAAAATATAAAAAGTCTTACTCATAATTTCTGACTGTAAAGGAGGAAAAAAATTTACTCCAAAAAAAAAAAAAAAAAAAAAAAAAAAAAAAAAAAAAAAAACATAAATTCAGTTGAGAAAATTTTTGCTTTTGCACGAAAATATCATGTCTCATTCACATATAATCCATTCTAATGTAAAATATATTTGCAAGCTACTGAAGAAGCCTTTAATTGTGCCACCTAAAATTATTTTTAATTCTTAAAATAATAAATAAGTACTGAACATTAATAATATAAAAACTAACTATTCGACAAATACACACTGATTTAATAAATACTTATTCAATAAGTATTTTTTCAGTAGCCACAGATAAATATTGTTAAATTTTGTAATTACTCATACTTACAGCATTTGGATGACAATCGGAGCAATCTGGATCCTTTAGCATAATACTACGTGGATCAGTCTCCTTAAGCATATTTCCCTCAAACTGAGAAAATTCTAACAGCAGAGTTAAATTAATAACAATTGATAAATAATATCTAAAATGTAATAACAAGCTAATTACATTATATAAAAAACTAACGCAGGCATTTAACATGTACGTGAATTAACTTTTTTAAATACAAAAATTCAGCAAGCTTTTCCTTTCCATTCAGTTCATATACTTCGAAGAAGGAATAATTTTTTTAATAATTTATTTTTCAGTTTAAATAAACTGATAAAAAAGGGAGGATGAAATATTCAAAATAGCAAGATAAAAAAAATTATGGAAATTTTTTTGTCAGAAAAATAATAAAAACAATAAGAATTTTAAAAAGTCAGTGGTATTATTTTGGTTATTCATTCACATGAATACAATTTTGAATTACCGCTCCTTTAAACCATACCCTATTTCAAATACATCTATTTTGTTCACTAAAATTCACCATACATGTTAAATGTTTTTTAGGTTTAAAAAATATCACTTTAAAGTTAATAAAGTTAAAAAAGTAGATTCTAATCTCACCAGAAGGTCTAAATGACGCTGAAAACATTTTATTAAACATGTCTTCCACATGCTGAAAAATATCATGAGCATCTCCAATAAAATCTTCAAATGGATAATGAAATGAGTGTTCAAATACATCTGTTTTGTTATTTTCAGTATGCCCCTTTGAATCATAATCATTATCGCCTGGATTCCTGCACATAAAATTGAAATCTTTTACAAGTTTATACCAACAATGAGATTTAAAGCAGTACATAAACCATAACTGTATAACAAAACACTGTAGGGTATAATATTTCAGTTTGTATCTCATTTCTTTAACATATTATACGACATGGTAACTGAAAACCCCACTGTTATTAGTGTTCACCGACTTGGAATCAAATTCAAATTTTCAAGTGTTAATTTAGTTATTTAATATCTGTACTTATTAAAAATTTTAGAGCTCCCCTCTGAAATTTAACTACATAGTATAACTACAACTATTAATAGGAATTTTGCTCTCAACTAAAAAACTTCAAGTCAACGAAACTAAAGGAACATTTCCAGAGCTTTATATTGTAAAGAATTATCACATTTCCCTATAACTCTAGTGGTGTAAGAGGTTGGTTCAAATCATGGCAATCATGGCAAGTTCAAATCATGGCAAGTTTGGTATTGCACGAGCAGCTTATCAGGCCATAACTAGAACAACAGCTGACCTACATTGTATTTGCCTTTGGTTATGAGTATCAGCCATGTCATTTGGACTTGACTAATTCCATCTTTGATATTGGTTATAGGGGTGGACTTTCACACATTTTAAAAAAAAAAAAGTTTTAGAGAGTTTTATTGGTATTGTGAAAATCGTTCGCTTTCAAGTGGTCATTCCCACGCAAGGAAGTAGCTTGCACTCACTCACACACTGCTTCCTAGAGTTGAGAACTTCTCAGAATCATTGTGATGTCACTAAAGTTCTGAGCTGTGGCAGTGGGAGCCGAATGTGTACAATGCACTAAACACGTTTAGTCTTGTGTTAGAGTACATGTCAATGTGTTGTGTGCTTTGCCAGTTCATTTGTTCATGTTTTAAATATTTCACCCATATTAATTTATAAACATCAGCGATAAAAGAGAAATTGCAGTGTTGACACAAAGAAATGAAGGAATCATAAATTCCATACAATTGAGACAAAGATGGAAAAAGCAGTGAATCTTTTGCTTCAATCAACCATTTGTATGATATAAACAGGTCTACAATATGTTCAGTCTTGAAAAACAAGAATAAAATTAAGAAATACATTCAAAATAACAGAAATATATTTTCAAAGATTATTTCCAAAAGACACAGCATGGTGATGGAAACGGATAGATCTTTGTCATCATAGACTGATGATCAACATCAAAACAACGTCCCTCTGAGTTTTTCAATTACACAAGCTCAGGGTCTTAGTTTACATAAAGATTGGAAGACTTGATTAAAAGAAGATTCTAACACAAAGTTTCAAGCACATAAAAGCTGATTCAACAAATTTAAAATGAGGTTTAGAGTAGATTTAAGGGTGTCTCTTGCATTATCGTTAAGTTGTTTCATTTATCACCAAGCTGTTGTTTCATTTATGGTAACGTGAGTTGTTGAATGCTATGGTAACACTATTATAAAGTAATTGGGGCTCTACTCTTACATGTGCCCTAAGATCACCAAATGTGGCAATATGCCTTCTGCGCTGGTTTTTGGCACGATTGCGTGTTGTATGGCAACTCTTTTGACGCTGAAAACTCTTTTGCCGGATTGGTTTAATTGCTCATTGGTTCGTGTTGTGCGTGTTTTGAAATGGCCTATGTTGCAATGAGAGAAGTAGTTGCAATAGGGTCTGGGAGATTATTTTTAGTGGCTTTGCATGATAGAAGTAAGGAAATGCTGATGCAGTGTATTAAAGAGTGGATTGAACCTTGTACAACTATTTTTTTCGGATGGCTAGAAATCTTACAAGGATTTAGGAAAAGAAGGTTTTGAACATTCATTTGTGAACCATAGTATGAATTTTGTGGATAGCGAGTCTGTAATATATATACCGTAGAGAGTACGTGGCGGCATGTCAAAGCTACGTTCTGCTGTCCAAAGCATCCATTATGGTAAGTGCATTTTATTTTATTGTTTTTATTTTATAGAATGTTATGTTCATTGTTGTTTTACTATTTCTGTTGTTATTGTTGTTTTTTGAATTATTTGTAATTAATTTTAGTTATTTTGTTGATTGTGTGCAATGCCTAGATTTTGCAACTCATAGACTTTTTTTAACTTTAAACAGAATGCTATGTAAATGGTATTCTTTGAAACTTATTGTTGTTATGTTAATTTATTAAACCAAGGTGTTCGTAGATTCCTTCGCTGGCTAGATTGTGCAATTCGTACAGGTTTTTTTTTTTTTTTTTTTTTTTTTTTAGTTAAAACGTATTGCTGTATACATGGATTCTTGTCAAAAATTGGTTAGAAATTTTATGTTTTTGCTATCTAAATTTTTTGTTTTTGTTTCGGATTTTTAGCTTAAATTGTGTGTTCAAAACGTGGTTTTTGAATGTGCGAAATCCGCGTTTTTGGAGACATATTAATCTTAAAGTTCGAAATGTAGACAAAAAATTTAGATAGCAATATGGCACCATGGAGTTTCTCGCCAAAAAGGTTTACTTAGTAGCCATTATAGATGTCCTGTTTGTACAAAGGAAATGTGTATCGTCGAACATCAGCGGATATTTTCGTGAATTTATGTGGTGATGCCAATATGCAGATTCAAGTTCAGATAATTTTAGGAAGTTTTTGGCTGCTGTTAAGGAATTGTGTTTGATTGAAGACACGGAAATTTGTAAATAAGGTAAGCGGCTATTTCCTTTGTGTAGTGCCAAGATGAATTTCCCTTTTTATGTTATTTCATTGTTTGATTTAAAATGTAGTTTATTGAGATTATATATTTTTTGTTGGCTGCTCCTTTGACTTTTTAAGTGAAAATAGATCAATATGTACATGGACAAAGTCAAAGGAGTGAGCAATGTCAAGTTTGTGGAATTCTCTGATTCTTTTTTAAGTGAAAATAGGTCAATGTGTGCATGGATACCAAGTTTGTGCAATTCTTTGACTTGTTATTTTGGCTTGGTGTAGAGGAGATTTTTGGCGCAAAAATCGGTATCTATGTACCACCAAAAATTGCCAAGGGGTACCCACAAATATAATTTTACCATTAATTCAATAAACATAGAAGGAAATAGAAAAAAGCACTTCAAAAACTGTTTACTGACAATGCTTTCTTTGAAACAACAACACTCTTTATAAGAGATAAGGAAAACACATTTGAACTAACAGTTGTCAACAGGCCTTCATTGGCGCTTTTTGTGGCCAAAATCGCTGCTACACAAAGCCAAAATAACATGTCAAAGAACTGCACAAAATCGGCGTCCATGTACCACCAAAAATCGCCAATTTTTGCCAAGGGGCACTTGGAAATATATTTTTACCAAAACGAGATATTCTTTACATAATATTAAATTGGTTAGAGTAGACTGCCAAGTTTGGCCAAGGGGTACCCTAAAATATACTTCTACCATTAAATCCACTAGAGGATCAGATGCTGCTGATCAAGAGGCTAAAAAAGAATTTATTTCCTCATTGTCCAAAATTATTATAGACAGAACATATTCTCTTAGCCAAATATTCAATGTAGACTAAATGGGTTTATTTTAGAAAAAAGTTCCCAAACCTACATTCTAAAGAAAAATCAGTTGTCCATGGACAAACTTTTTAAAATCTGATTAATATTGCTTTTGATGGAAACTTAGCAGGTAATTTAAAATTGAAGCCAAGGTTAACATGAAGACAAAACAGCTACATGCTTAAGATGAAAGATTTTTAGAAAAGGAAAGTGGCTTTATTTTTCTTTCTTTGGGAGGAGAGGGGAAGAGAAAAATTCAAGTTACACATGGCAAAAACCACAGAAACTCCAGGCCTGTTCGTTGGAATTTAAAGTCTAGTCAAACTACCATGTGTTCAGTGATTCTAATATGGCATTATGTAAACATGGAAGTCATACATTTCATTGTACAGTCAAAAGTCGTTAATCCGGGACTTCAGCGATTCCGGATTATCGATTTTTCCGGATTATAGATCATCAGTTTAAATCTCGTAAGATGGCATGCAGAAATTCTAAAATTAAAAATATGAAACCGTAATTTATAAAATAAAGAACAATTATGATCTAAAGGGTATCAAAAATTTACAAAAAAAAAAGCTTAATATTTATTTGTTTTTACTTTATTAAAACATTTCTTTCAATGTAAGTTGTTTAAGTTGCTTCGTTTTATGTGATAATACTTTCTCTTAATTCTATAAACAGACATAATTTTTTGTTCAGTTATAAAGTTCCGCAGTTCAAGTTCCGTAATTGATGTGCCGAGAATACCGACTAACTTGTCAATCGAAATTTTTTTTGTTTTCACTAACCTCTCTGTCACCTTCTTCATGTCTTTATCCATTTTTTGCAGCAATTCCACTTTTTGTTTGATGGACATTGAAACATATTTTCATTTTGCAGATCCTTTGGGAGTTCCAGCATCGGAAATTCTATTTGACATAATCGAAAGTTCAAGTTTACTTTTATAAAATTGCTCTGAGTCTGCAAAAAATAATAAGCCGGATCCAATTCGAAGATTAAGGTACAACGCAATCATCAACATTAACTGAAATAGATAATTAGATAATTTTAGCTTATACCATCCGTTATACATAAAACACGCACGCGAAAATGTATTCTGCGCTTGCGCACGCGCATATGCGCAATCGTAAAAGTCTTACGCGCACGTGCAAACGTTAATGCGCATGTATCAACGCGGCGCATGCGCAAAAAGTTTTTAGATCTGAGGTCCGAATTAATAACTTTTGACTGTATTTATATAAAACTCTCAATGTGATTTGTCTGATTTAATCAGATACATCAAATTTTATTTCAAAAATTTTAATCCCTTTTAGCATAAACATTTAGACAGTCAGAAATTAGAAGCAGTGTACATGGATATAGTGAAGAGTGTGAGCAATGCCATTTTTGTGCAATTCTGGGATTTTTTTTAAGTAAAAATAAGTCGGCGTGTACATGGTTTATGTGTATGTGTTATTTTGAAAAACGCGTAAGGAGTATGGTATTGTGCACTTTTTCCCAATTTTGCAGTGA